TCAGAGATTTCTTCCACATGAGAATCAAACATTTGCCTGTTGATGTCAGGTATATCATGAATTGTCAAGGAGAAAGATGTCTGTTTAATATGAAAGATGGAGCTCTGGAATATTCATTATTGTATTAAAATTAGAGGATGAATTTTTTTCACATAGATCCAACAAAGAAATATTTGTAATTGTCATAGTTTGACGCTGACCAAATGCCAAGCACCCATGAAAGCCGCTTACTCATCCTCCATTGCCACACCTGGGCAGAGGAGAATAAAGGGTTCATGAGTTGAGATAAGGACCAGGAGAAAACACTCCAAGGGCAAAACAGGCTCATCTTAGAGACATGAAGTGAGTTTATCACTAACAAAAACAGAGAAGGACAATGAGAAGTAAAAATAAGTCCTTGAAGATCACCTCTTTTCCCCAGCAGCCTCTTCTCCCACCAGCAGTGCAGGGAGACAGGGCATGGGGGTTTGGTCAGTTCATCACCCAAGGTTTCCTTCCACTTCTATGGGAGAGGAGTCCTTCCCCTGGGACCCTGGGGTCCCTTCCACTGGAGACAGTTCTTTATGAATTTCTCCAGCGTGGGTCCACTCTCATGAGAAGCAGTCCCAAAACTGCTGCAGTGTGAGTCCCTCCCACAAGCACACAGTCCTCCAAAAGCTACCACAACGTGGGTCTCTCTTCCCACTGGGTGCAGCCCTCCATGGACAGGCTGCTCCAGCCTGGAAGCAGAGCCCTCTCTCTCCACTGGGTCCTCACTGGATCACAGCTTCCTCCAGGCATCCACCTGCTCTGGCATGGGCACTTCCACCATGGGCTGTGGGTGGATCTCTGCATCCCCCACGGATCCCCACGGGCTGTGGGTGGATCTCTGCATCCCCCATGGATCCTCATGGGCTGTGGGTGGATCTCTGCATCCCCCATGCATCCCCATGAGCTGTGGGTGGATCTCTGCATTCCCCATGGATCCCCACGGGCTGTGGGTGGATCTCTGCATCCCCCATGGATCCCCACAGGCTGGGCATGGATCTCTGCATCCCCCACGGATCCCCACAGGCTGTGGGTGGATCTCTGCATCCCCCATGGATCCCTACGGGCTGTGGGTGGATCTCTGCATCCCCCATGGATCCCCACAGGCTGTGGGTGGATCTCTGCATCCTCCATGGATCCCCACAGGCTGTGGGTGGATCTCTGCATTCCCCATGGATCCCCACAGGCTGTGGGTGGATCTCTGCATTCCCCATGGATCCCCAGGGGCTGCAGGGCACAGCTGCTGCACCACAGCCTCACCACGGCCTGCAGGGTAATCTCGGCTCCAGCACCTGGAGCAGCTCCTGCCCCTCCTTCTCCAGGGACCTTGGCGTCTCCATGTTGTTTCCCTCACATGTTCTCACCTCCTCCTCTTCTCTGGCTAGAATTAAAACTGTACCACTTGTTTTGCTTTAGTCTTAAATATGTTATCACAGGGGTGCTACCATCATGTCTAATTGGCCCAGCCTTGGCCAGAGCGATGTCCATCTTTGGAGCCATCAGGGACTGCCTCTGCCAGAGCTGGTGGAAGCTTCTATCATCTTCTCACAGAAGCCACCTCTGTGACTCCCCCTGCTACGAAAAACCAGGCTGTGCAAAACCAACACAGGAATGTTTCAGAAAAAGTGAAATATCAGAAGTTGAAGATGCTATGGATTTTTGTGAATTGTAGATTTCGTGGTTTTCATGATTCACATTTTGAAGATAATTTCTGATGTATCTTCCCAAATAATACCAGCATTTTGAAAATGTGACAATCAGAGGTGATAGAAATAATTCAATTGGAACCTTTTACTATGTAATATGAGAATTAACCTTTTCAGAACAATGATGATTACAATTTTTCACAATTAAAAATCAAAAAAAACCGAAAAAAACAAAAAAATAACCCCACCCCAAACTATTTTCTTTTCCTGATTTTCTTATCTCAGTAAATAATCCCAATAAATTTATAAGGAATCAGTATAGGTTTTGCAAGCTCTTGTCCTCATTTTCATTCCTTTTGTTTCCTAGAATTTTACATTCTAACATTCTGAAACTTTTATGACTACAGAAACTTTTACATGGCAGAAGGAAAGTGTATTAATAATATAAATAGACTTTCAAAATCAAATCCTTAGTAGTATCTTTTGATGTAGCCTAAATTATTTGCTACACATAAAGGAGCTGGTCATAACACAACTATGTGTTCTCTCTCTTTCTCACTCTCTCTGTGTGCTTATAATGAATATTTAATTGCTGAACATTTTTTTTTTTTTTCAAATCAGTCCAAATATTTGATATTCTCATATGAATATATATTATGTCTATTTTCTTTCCTTTTTTGTTCTTACTATTTCCTACAGTAAAAAGGCTTAGAATAATTTGATGCCCCAGGGTATGTTCTATATTCATTTAAAACCAGGTTATCACTAAAGTCAGAAAGACACCTTATGTCAGTGAGGCTTGCTTGCAGTAAGCTGCAATCAGCTGTAGAAGATGTGCAAACACTGATGTCCACAAATGAGAGTTCTCTTCTTTCAACATAACAGAACTATCTACAATAAAATCAAGTACTGCCTTTGAAAAGTCAGAACTATCTTAAAAGTCTAGTTCAAAGGAGCAAATTCTCACCTGTTTCTACCTTGACAAACTAAGGATAAATGAATTACCCCTTTACACTTCATGTAGTGCAATTGTTTAGTAACACATATATTCAAACAAAGAGTCATAAACAAACTTTGCCTGCTTGGAAGTCATTTCACAGTCAACATTTCTCTCCAAAAGGGAAAAAAAAAAGAAAAAACAAAGCATGACAAATGTTAGTCGTAGTTAAAAATTAATTCAGGGAAGTTGTTCAGTTATTTTGATGATACGAACATGTGCAGAAAAGGACATAAAACAATGAAAAGCAGGCACTTGTCACTAGAATAAATAACACCACTCCTGGACTGCAGTCTCAGCAGTGCCATATGTTGACTTATTCACTGATATGAGAAACTAGAGCAACATGACAGGCTTAAATGCTAGCAAGGTTCTGTCCTGTTACCTTCTTAGCAAGTGTCATTTGGTGAAAGGGGATCTGCAGCTAACAATACAAGTGGCTCCTGTTCTCCCTTACAGTCCCTGAAAGCGGGAAGGATTCACATCCCTTTGCTTGGTCCCTTCTCTCTGGATCTCCTGAAGTCACAGCCACTGCAATAATCAGCCTGTCATCAGGTCTGTAATCCTTGTGCCACTAGATGTCCCTGCCCACCAAACTTTAGGAAAGGCTGCCTGGAGCATCCCGACACCTTCAGAGGCAGAGCTGCAGCCACAGGGCAAGCGAGGATAACCATAAAATTTGATTGAGCAGAACCTGACCGTTATGTTTTTGGGTTTTTTTCAGGTAATAATTGCAGTAGCTAGAAACAACGCTGAAGATTATTCACCCTGCGCCAAACATTATTATTCATTGATACAAATGTAAGGTCCGTGGCATGGTATTGACAGTCAGCATCATTTAATTTCAGTAATGTCTTCTTCCCTCACAAGGGTAAAGATGCATTGATGTCATCCTGTAATGCCTGTTCACTCAATAAACTTGAAATGCCCTTGGTGCTCTGTATGGAAGGGCAGATTTAAAGCAGCAACCATTGCAAAAATTTCAGAAAACAGATATAATGCTACTTTTATTAAAGCAAACATTTGCATCTACTGATCTGAACACAATAAAATGACTATATTTGAAAAACTCGAACAAGACATATATATAAAAAAATACATTTTCTAAATTACACTCATTTTGATCAAAAAATTGTCCTTGATTAATTAGGATTTTTAAATGTTTAGAAATACTTCAAATGTTTGCAAAATCATTTGTACAGTAGCATGCTGCAGGGATATTTGTGTTTGAACGGCACTAGAAAGCTGATGTGCCACAATTATTTTGTTGTCTCCTGGAGGAACTAAACTTGGCAGGAAAATCTTTACATAAAACCAAACATATTAGATGTCTGCTTGTTGTGGGTAAAATTTTGTTTGTTTTCTTGGATAAAGCATTTATGTTTGGCTCTTGCCTTTCATAACAGTAGAATATTGCTTTGAATAAAGTGTTTCCTCTGGAAATCCTGCTTCAGAAATGCAGCTTCAGGAAAAAAAGGTGGGTCACATCCACTAGCAATTTAAAAATACTGCTTTTTGCACCAAGACTTCAAAGTTTGAATCATATTCCATACATAGAGAAAATAGCTGAAGAGCAAAATAACTATCATTAAGTTCACAACAATGGAAGGAAGTGCCTTTTTTTACAGAAGTAAATCAGTACTCCTTCTTGGTTTTCTTGTGGTGTGTTTTTTCAGTTCATTCAGTTATTGTGACTCCTTATGTCTACCTGTTGGATTAGGGAAGCAGCAAATGATCAGTGCTGTTTCCCCTACTGTGGAAAATGGTGCTGTATGTAGCAAGGACTCTTCCCTAAAAATAGAATCTGGGGAGGCTTCAGAAACATTTGGATGCAGAATATCCCTCCCCTCACTCCTTTTCTATTATATAAAAAAGTGACAATCTTTAGGTTTACCCTGACCCTGACTTCTTTCCTTACTGTTGTATCATCTTGGGTGTTTGGTTGTTAGGTGTTGATTGGTTACGCTGGCTGGAGCTTTTGGGGAGGCAGATGGGGATGTTTGGGGGGTATTTTCCTTCTTCATTCAAAATTTTTATTTTTCTGATAAGTATTCATTAGAAGTACTCCCTCTTTTCCCTTCAGGGCTAGGAAGATTTCACTGAAACCTTTTTAGGCCTGAATTACAAAAATGCAAAGCTAACTCACAGACTAAAATTATGGAGAACACGCTTGGGAAATATCACTATATTTTTGTCCTAATCTTAAATTCTTCCTTAGGCAATCACCATCAGGAGTTGGTAAAGACTGAGAATATGGTTAAAGAAACCTTGAAGAGTTCTTCCTATATAGTGCAAGACATCTCACTGTTTGTTTGTGACTTATTTTTATTTTGTTTTTTGTCTTTGTTTTTTGTTTTTGTTTTTTGTTCAGAGCCTTCTTTTTGCACAGATTTCATCTATCCAAAAGATTTGTGGTTGGACACAACTGTCATGATTTTCTTGTTTGCCTTCTTGTTGTTGATGGAACATCTACAGACCATGCACACAGAAGCTTAGTGTTACTCTCAGATTCGAAGTATGAAGATACATGTAATATTTTGCAGTTGGAAAGCAGACCAAGGTATTGATTGCTCTGGAGAAAAACTCCACAGTAAATGTGTGAGACACAGAGATTGCCTACAGGGAGAGAAGTTTTAAAGTAATTATTTTCCACTAATAAATTCCTTGTTCAGCTATAGAAAGAATGAATAGCTTTGTTTTAGTAAGGAGCACATGAGACGTGTAACAACCTAATGCACTCTTGCTAGACTGCCAAGCTGTCTGCTCAGTTTTGTTTTAAAGAAAGTTATACACCAGCAACAACAGTGCTATATTTATAGCTAATCCACAGCACACTGTTTTTTGTGAGGCTTTATTCTAGTCATTGCATCCTGTGTGAGCAGTAGGAACTGCAGAGATCAAACAAACCCATGACTCTGGGTTGGGATCCCCACTGATGTGTGTACCACTAACTCAAGCAGTCAAATATGTGACAGCATATGATGCAAGAGATACTAAGAGTAAAAGTCCCCTGCTTCCTCCTTATCCTTTTTTCTCAAACAGCAGAAGTAACATTTCAGGAAAAAGTACAGATTCATACAATAATATATCTGTCAGACAATTTTTCATAGACATTCCTGAAGAACTAGGTGCATGGCAAATTTTACTATTACTTGTGTCAATTATTTACATTTTTTAAGGGGCATTTTTGGTTGTTTTTAATGTACTATTAGATAAATAGGGAAATGTATTGGAGCTGTACCGTAGAAATATAAACCAAGAGTGTTTGAAGTAAAATATTCTTCTCTTTAAAATGGTCTTTAGGCTGAACTGTATGTTTGAGATAATATTAGCCAAGCCTCAGAAGTAGAAAGAATCTAAGTGAAACCTTCATGAAATTACATTAAGTATCAATTTGTAGCTGCTGTCAGGTGGTCATTCTTGCAGGGAACACAACAACCACCCAGCCAACTACAGGAGCACTAATCAGACCAGCAAGTAAAAGAATATAGATGAAACTTAAGAATTAATTTTGTGTTAGAAAGGCATAATTATCTACCCTATATCTGGCTAGTAACTAGGCATTAACATTCCTAATTTTGTGAAAGTTCCTGAAAATGTTCAATACCAAAATGGTGAAGACATTAATTACCCATTTCATACAGAAAATGTCACTTTCAGCAGCACAGCAGAAGGTGATTGATGATTACTTTCTAAATATAAATATTCCCACATCTTGAATCTCTAGAATCACTTCCTATGAGTTCCCCAATTACTCTAGGAGATAATCACCTCAATTTCCTCTTAGGAGAGAAAGATACCTCTTGGTATGAGTGAAAAAAAGGTGTTTAATAAAGAAGTTAAAAGGATCACAAACAATGCTCTTCTCTCTTAACATTCATTCTGGCTACAAGGGAACAAGAAAGTCTAAAACAGCTTTAACTGGGGTCACAGGTCACCACAGCAGTGACCGTAACAGTAGGAATGGAATCTTTAGACTCTCATGATATTTTAAAATTAAATTCTCTACAGTGGCATATTGCTATAAAAGAAAGGCTTCAGTATAGGCATAAGACTATTGAAAACTGTTGCAAAGAGCAGAAACCCAAACATACTCAAGCAGGAATAGGCCTGGAAAGAGTAAAAAGCTTCTCTTCTCTATCAAACACTTTGTTATACAGAGTGACTCATATTTGGATTTTTTTTTTATATTTTTTTTAAAGAAGCATAAAAATGGTGAGTATAAGTCACTATCTTTGAATAGTTCATCTTGCCATGAAGTCTGACCTTGTGGCCTCCCAGAGCTTCAGCAGCTCTTGACGTTGTGACTAGCTCCTGACCAGATGTACCAGCAAATGCAATGATACCTATTTTCATTTTCTCATTATTATTTTGGTATTGACCCTTACAACAGGATAGAAGCAAGCACACTGAATTTTAAGGCAGACTCCACCAGAGATGACTGTCTCAGCAGTTAGTCACAGACTTTTTAATGATTTTTGCACATTGAACATGCACAGGGAGCTCATCTGGGGAAGGGACATCTAAAAAGAGGATTTTTTTTCCTTAACCTTTTTGACAGGCAGTGATGGTAAAAGTATCACAAAAAAGTACTACAAAAGTGATTCATGACAGATAATTGCTTATAAAAATACAGACATGGGAAGCCAGGAACTTCAGAATGCCCAAAGTTTGTAACTCTAAGGAGTTTACTTTTGTGAATTGGAAACCTGTGTGTATGCCATATCAAGAGAGGTCATTCAGGTCTCAAGTGACTTTCCTTGTCAAAGAATATGAAGCCCTTGGACTCCTGGCAGGAAAGGAAAATATCAAAGCTTCAGGGTTTTCCTGGGTCAGCATTCCCTGGAGGAATTCAAAGTGTCTCCAAATCACTAGCTTCAAATACAGTCAGAGACCTTTGTTAATCCTCCTCCCACATGCTTACGTATGCATCTGAAGTATCACAACATATTGCTGTTGTGCTCTATTGAGAGCTCAGGGACAGAGAAATTGTTTGAGTTTTACTGGGTTAAGGGGCAAGGAGAAATGTCTCTTGACAGTCATTAGCTATCCACCTGCACACCAAGGACATGTGTTTTGTACTGTCCAAAGAGCCAATGTATTAGGTGTCTTTGGGGGTCACTCTTTAATTGCTTCAGTTTCTACTAATCTAGATAATGTGCTTTTAATTCTCCTTTTGGTCTGCTTTGTAGACCAATAAAAACATAAATTAACACTATTCCTCTAATTTATTAATGTTTTATTTGAAAAAATAATTTAGGAAACTTACATGTCTCTATCTTAGATTATGGCAAAATTATTTTCCATAGATGCTCTGTGGCTAAATAAGAGACACCATTTTAATGAATACTTAAAGAAGTTTTTCTCTAGACGATTTTTTCAGTCAGATTGTCTTCCTTCTTTTTCCATGGATTACTCTACAGTATCCTCACTGAGAGCAGAGTAATGATCTATTACGCTGGCATGTAGTCAGCATGGTGTTTCTCCAACAATACATTAGATCAAATCATGAACATAGCAGTATTACAGCAGTATCATTTTGACAATGATTTAAACTAACATATCATCAGTGCTACTGTACATCGCTTCAGAGACAGAGCATGTTAATGCCTCATCAGATTGATATTGCTGAAGCAAAAAGCATTATCATAATGCAAGGATGATGTAAGTATGATAGGTAAGCTTTCTAGTGCTGCTATAATATTAGGTATTACCATAATGCAGGGGTGATGTAAGTATGCTAAGTCCATTTTCCCTCTTAATCATTTTTCCAATTAATTTATCTGTGGAAAGTCTATATATATTCCCTTTACATGTGAAGGTCAGATTGTGCTACTCTGGTTCTTATGACTAATTTAATTAGAACAATCAAGCCTGTTATTTGCATTGCTTAAGTGAATGAAAATTTTGCTGCTGATTTAAAAGAAACAAGATAAAATTTCAGTTAAGAAACATTATTCTGCTCACTATAAGAAACTTTGATGCTGAGAAAAAGACTAGAATAATGCATTGACTAGAAATTCAGGCAGGTGACTTCAACTCCTGGTGGTTACCTATATGATTCCTATGTTTATGATTGGATGCAAGAGCAAACTGATTGAGTGATTTTGTGCAAATCACTTCTCACTGAGAAGTCTATATTTCCTGTAGCACCCATTTTCTTTCTGTTGATTAAAACACTTGTGTTGTTGATTGCTTATCACTAGTTTTAATAAAATGTATAGCATACCAGAACAGAAATCTGGTTTATACAGCCTTCTTTGATTAATCTTTATTAAAGATTTAATAAGATGATCCAGAATAGGAATAAAAAAATCTAGTTTGCACAGTTTTGGGGATATTTTTGTTGTCTACAGAAGAAAATTATTATTAAGCAACAGAAGAATCAAAGAAAGGTATTGAAAATAACACATTTTTGTTAACAGCTGGAGCAGCAAAAGTTTCTATTTCTCCCACAACTGGTTTCCTGAGAAAGCTGGACCCCCTTGATCTCTTCACTGATGTGGGGAGGAATCTGGGGGCACATGGCCAGGCAGAAAGGTTCTGAATTTATTCCTAGCTTGAATACATTGTTGCTGGATCTTTGCTCTCCTCCCTGTACCGGGAAAGTCATCGTCTGTGTCCTTTTCTCCCTTTGGTGGATGAGACCAAGTGGGGTCCTCTGAGACTGTTATTTGCTTGAAGTATAAGACAGAAATACAAACTGAAAATGGTGGGTTTGAGTAAAGGTATTAACAAAACTATCCCCCAAATTTTTTAGACTGTGATAAGGATGGCTGGATTATTTCCAAGGCATAGATAATGTTTTTCAAGTCATTCAAACCTTCATCAAAACATCCACATTGTTTACACCACAGTTCACTACATCCCAAAATAATTGCAGAAAATTTGTTTCTTTGTAAGCCATTTATGTACCAGATTTACTCACTGAAATTTATGGAAGAGCTTAAATAACTTAAACTGAGCAAGGTGCTGGGCCTTGCTATTTTTTTGCCAAGAAAAGTTAGACCAGATGATCCTGAATTTCCCTTCCCACCTGGTATTCCATGATTGAACAGATTGTGGGAAGGAATTATAGGGTAAAGGCAGTTAGGGCAGAAGTGCCTGATAAATGTGATTTATAAGAGGTTTCTGTGATCCAGTGTGTCAGTTTGTTTTGTGATAAGTATTACATGTACAGTCCAGTATAATCCCCCTTCCACAGCTGTTCAGCAGCTAAATTTCAGAGCAGCTTTTCATCAGGCTGGTTTCAGGTCTGCACTGGAAAAGAGTTCCCAGGAATCCATCAGCATTCCAAGTCACTGGCCACCAGGACAATTCTCAGCCTTCCCATGAAACAACACAAGTGATTTAATGTTTTAATACTAAGAGGTTTTGTTGTGGTTAAGCAGTCTGTGAGTGCTGTGTCTCCTACCTCACTACTTTGGAAAGATTTAAAAAAAGTCCCCTGTCTGCCCCATAACCAATCAGGTCTGCTTGTTATTTGACCTTCTAAATGATTATGCTCTTCATTATGGTTTAGTTGCAGTCAAGCAAGCTGCAGGATTTATCGTTTTACTTCTTTCTCACACAGTCTTCCCTCCACATTCACCTGAAAGGAAATTCACTGCTGTTGGTGTGCTCTTTCTGTATTTAAATTTCTTATTAACAGAAAGTGAGATAATTGTTCCAGCATCAGCTTTCACATATTTACCCTAGAAATTATTTTGTCTGTTAGATTAAACTCACATTTTCCTACATATGCAATTAGAGAATATTTGATTCATTTACATTCTGTTCAAAAATCTAATTCAATTGAGCTTCTTGAAAATCTTGATTAAATAAATATTCTTCCTCTAATAACTTCCTCACGCTAGAAAGAAAATATATGTGTGTATATTTGTGGTGGTTTTGGCTGGGGTGGAGTTGGTTTTCTTCATGGTGTCCAGTGTCGAGGTTTGTGCTGAAAACAGCTGGGACAGTTCACCCAAACTGACCACAGGGTTATTCCATCCCACATATATTATATGATAATCCTGATATTATACTCAGGATATAAAGTGAGGAAAGAAGGAGCAAAGGAGGGATGTTTGGAGTGATGACATTTGTCTTCTCAAATAGCTACTGAACATGATGGGGCCCTGCTCTCCTGGAGGAGGCTGGACATCTGCCTGACTAAGGAAGCGATGTTTTATTTTGTTAGTGTACAATTAAACTGCCATTATCTCAACTTAGCAGTTTTCCTACTTTTAATCTTCCTCTTTTCCCCCTGATCCCACTGATGGTGGCTATGTGGTACTTGGCTCTTGCTGGGGTTAAACTACCACGACACGCTATATATATATAAATATTTAAATACATATTACCAGCAATGAAGAGACAAAGAGCAGTGGAAGGTCAAATAGATAGTTCTATGCTCTCTCTTCTGCCTTGTCATGTCAAGCAGCTTGCACAGGATCTGTGTCTTTTCCTCTCCTTTTATGGTTTTACTCCATCTAGTCTGAAAGAACCCATGGAGCAATGCTTCTGAAATTCTTCTTGTCAGCTCATAACAAGAACAGAGACTGCTTTGACATGCAAGAATTTCAGAATGCCTCTAGATTTCACTTAGCATTTCCAGGCAAATTATAGGTAGAACAAGAAAGAAACAGTGAGCAGACTGTTGAGATTTCAGTTAAGGTGACTCCTTAACATAATTAACTGTTGAAAACACTACATCTGCTCTCTTTTAAAATAGAAAATAGATTCTTCCTTTACCTGTTAACAGTCCTATAGAGTTCTGGAGGAACAGGTAGCTTCCACACTTTTCATTTATGAAGGATGTTTCTTTGTGTCTGTGTTGATTAATAAACCTCACAGTGACAAGAAAGGCTGCTGTGACGTAAAGTAGTTGCAGGGTATGTTTTAAAGAACCTTTCTCATATGCCTAATCTCTTAGCTATCATTATCACGTCGTCTGTCATTTTCAGCCAATCTGCTGTAGCTAACTGACTCAATGAGAGAGTGCATCTTAATTTGTCAAGAGCAATTAAAATAATTCACTACACTGGAACACGCATGCAGCTTGTGCACAGCTGAAGAACATCCTGTAGGTGAGAAGATTCTATTATCGCTTCAATTATGATTTTGAGTTAGGTGTAATCATTCTTCGTAGTGTATTCAAAGAAATTTACAGAGCCTTTATAAATTTAAAATCCAGGCCCCTTGAACTTCTGCCAAACTTTACTTATATTCTGCATCTGATGGCATCAGACAAATGAACAGCAAAATTGCAATGGGTCAACTGTGGAGCTCTATGAAGTATGGGAGTTCTGTTTCCTATTTTACTTCCTTTCTTTGTGATGGAATAATGGGGTTTTTTTGGATGTGTATTTTAACTCTTCTCATCCACCACTATTGCTACTGGGAGTCCATTGATTCTCCCTGTAGTCTGGAGCCTACAGTCGCTGGCCTTCTTATGAATTCTGCTACTGATAGCAGAAAGTGAAGAACTAGTTAGTCAACAAAATTCTTATCCAACTAATTATTTATCAAATATATGGACTCCCATAGGCCCTGTACCACAGACATAGAGATTCATACAAGACCAGAGAGGAGGCACTGGTTTTTATGGGTTATTACTGGTCTCTCTCAGGTCACTGCTTCTCATTTTCTAATCAAATAGAATTTGTATTTTCCAGTTCTCTGATTTTTGCATCAACTCATTCAGTAATCACAGCTCTTTAGTAGATACTGGCTAGATAAAATACCCACATTTTTTCCCTCAAGAAGCTGGTGAACAGTTATAGATACAACTGATGGAACAGACATAAGTAATGTTTATTTTACCACTAGAATTAAAGCAGCTAAAGAAAACAATGTAAATTTATCCCTAGACCTACTATCCCCTAACTGCAACCTGTGAAGGTGTAACTTCATTAAAAGTCATCAACAGGCCTCTAGGTGCTAACTTGATTCTTTGTACAGTTGCCCTCCCTGCCCTTTAAAATTGCAACATATCCTATAGACTATTAATTTTCTGTGGATGGGATTTATTCTATGACAAGAATACTAAATATATGTTGACACACAAATTTTGATTAAGGCTGCACTGCCAGTAGTTTCCTTGCCATCTCTCAAAAATTTTACATCTTAATTTCACGTTTTTGTAGCATTACTTCCCTAAGTATCGATGGAGATGACATGCTGCCTGCACTGATCACATTGACAGATGCTCATTTTCTTGAGTGGTGTCCCCGTTGTTGACTAGAAATCATGCTTATCTCATTTATCTATCATGAGGTATATTATTTCCTTCACTCTTAGGGCACTACAAAACTTGATTTTGGGTAGCTATATTCTGAAGTGGTCCCAAAGAATAAATTGCAAGCAGTTAGCCTTTTTCTCCAAGTCTGCTATTTATCTAATATTCTATTAGATAAATAGATTAATATCTATTAATCTAATATTCTTTATGTTTCTATCTAGTCTATTGTCTTATTTAAAAGGTGTGCTGCTAAAGAAGATCAGTTAGGAGACTTGACTGTAGAGTATTTAGCACCTTTTAGGCACCCAGCTGTCTTTCTCCACAAAATCTGACCTAACAGCTTGATTTTGAATGTAAAATCTATTTCTTCCAAAGGCCAAATATAATTTGAAATATTACACATAAAACAATATAATTGCATTTACCAAGAGTGGTGTTATTTGAAAATCTAAATGAAGAACTTAATATCCAAATAAAAGTGAGGTAGAAATATTTTATACCTAACCTCCAGCATGTTTATTGCTTTGTGAATATCTTCTACTATGATTAACATTTTGTTGGTTAATAAAAACATTATCTGTTTCAAATAGGCTATCACTATTGAAGAGATTAGCAGAATATTCCAGTCACATGAGTAAACCATTTTGTCTCATAAGTTATATATTTGACATAGATAATGCTCTTTAGGGTCTATGTAGGAATATGGTTGGCCTGAATATTTAATTCCCTTGTAACAACATTGAGCAAAAGCTACATCAAGAAAAAGATAAATTTTTCTTCCAGTCACTGTACAGAGTGCTTTTACTGTGCCACACATGGACTCATTAATTAATGACATATTTTAAAGTGTCCTTTAGTCCTCTGCCATGACAGTTATCCTGTTGAGTTATGGTTCTCAGGTACCAGGGGAAGGCAACTGGAGGCTGCTGCCAGGAATTGAGTCTACAGAGTCCTGAAAATTAGTGAAGCTTCCCTTGCATAGGCACATCATCTGGAAAAGTTAAGCTGTTAATAATTTATCAACTGTGAAGTGGAATGAAAGCATATTTATTATCCTTAATATGATTTTGTCATTTTTTCCTAAATATTTGCACAGTGCTCTACAGCTACAACAGGATTGCTAGGAGATTGGCTTTGTGTCATCACGGCTTTGTCTGTGTGCACAATCAGTCATTGGAAAGTTGGTTCAGCTCATGTGTTCAGTCAGATAAGTATGCCTTTGCTGCCACTGATGCTTCTACAGGATAGTGAAATCATAAACCTATCATTTGAGATGAGGACTTGAGAAATACAGTTTTATTGCCTTTCAGGTACTTCAGCTCCAAGTGATCCCATTAATTTCTTTGGACTAAAACACACAGCACGTCTTAAAGCAGTTTTATTTGATTGGGTAGTCTCTTGAGCAGGGGGCCCTGGAATAGATATAGGTCAGATACTTCAGTTAAATTAGCAAAGCTCCATTGCGCTATTGCACTAGTCAGACACATTGAAGCTACTGATGATTTATGAACTCTAATGAACCAAGCCTTTAATAAAGTTCTGCTGTGGTACTTCAGGTCTGATCCATGAAGAAATTCCCTTTTTCAGAAAAGGATTTAGGAAGTGCACCTAATAAAGTTTGTATTTCTTGTATATATGTAAATATTATGGCTTTAAGACTACAAAGTATTGCAATTTATGTCTCTGTTCTATAATACTGTACATAGTAGATGGGATTTACAGCAAATCTTAGAACTTAGATAAGTTATCTAAAAACTATCTTTGCTCTTAGCAAAGATAAAACTTATCTCTTAGAACTTTGAACTATCTTAGGTATCATGAACTTAGATGTAGAAAGCCAAATATAACTGCTGCTGCTCTCTGAACATCACCAAACACATAGCCAAAGATCTGCCTCTAGAAACGGAGCTATTACTCATCAATATATTGTTCCCTCTACCTGTTATAGCTATGTAGAGAAATGATTCATAGGAGCACAAGTTTGTGCTGTACTGTATGCAAGGATTTTCAGAAGCAATTTTTGAAGTATGCAGTAAATCACACCCCTCCCCACATCCCACTTCATCATAGGTGGAAAGAAAGCATACTGTTTTCATTTGGTAAGATACTATTAATCTTAAAAAAACACAGATTTCTTCTGGTTTAGATCTGTTATTCAGATTTTTTTAACAGTGTTTTTCATTTCATATGGCAGATTCTCACTTGGGGGATAGACAACCTTCAAACAACTCCTGAAAGGGAGAAATTTATTATTTCAGCATGCATCAAATAGGTATGATTCAAAGAAGCTCTTTGGGATCCCTTCCATAAAAGAGTCTCAGATGGGGTTGTCACAGTATCAGGAAGTACTAGTGGCATTGTGGTTAGTGTTGGGAGGACTCAGTTATATCCATTGTGATGAAAATCACATGGTAGTTATTTTACCACCCCTGCTGAGCTCAAGTTTGAGGTTCTCTCTTTAGAAGCAAGCTGTTTTCTCCCCCACTTGATTATCTCTCCAGTACCTGAAGGAAACATAGAGGAAAGATGGAGCAAGACTGTTTACAACGTCATGTAGCGACAGGACAAAGAGATTAGATTTAGATAAGATATTTGGAAAAAATTCTTTATTATGAGGGTAGTGAGGAACTGGAATGGTTTGCCCAGGGAAACTATGGATACACATCCCTGGAAGTTTTTAACACTGGGCTAGATAGGTCTTGAGTGACCTGGTTTAATTGAAGGTGTCCCTGCCCAGAGCAGGGATGTTGAAACCAGACAACAGTCAAAGTCCCTGCCAACCCAAATCATTGCATGATTCTGTGAGTGTCCCAATATCTGACTGAATCACCCCAGTGAGCAGGCTTGGCATTGGAGTCTGGGAGGGACCTGACCTAGACAGCTGATATGAGATGACCAATGGGATATGCCTTTCTCTACAATGTGCCCAGCAGTAAAAGCTGCAGGAAACAGAGGAGAAAGAAGGAATGTTTATGGCTGTGGTGTTTGTCTTCTCAAGTAATCATTAAGCATGATGAAGCCATGCTTTCCTGGAAGTGCTGATATCTGCCTGCCAGTAACAAGTAATGAATTAATTCCTTGCTTCACTTTTCTTGTGTGTCAAGTATTTGTTTTACCTATTTAAATGCCTTTCTATTAACCCACGAATTTTCAGTTTTTCTCTTTTGACTCTCTCACAATGAAGAGGAAATGACCCAGCAGCTGGGTAAGCTTAGTTGCTGGTTGCAATAAGTTCACATGTGAGGCACTTGCTTTTTTTGAAAATTAATTTGCAGAAAATACTCAATACAATTTTAATTAATTAGTTGGTTTTTGTTTTTTCTTTCCAACTTCAGGTAATGAAAATACCTTCTAATCCTGCACCACTACAAACTTGTGCTGTAAGCATTCAGACAGCTGCTACATAGAACACACTGAGAGGTTCAGCCATTTTCAGGTATTGATTCACCCTATAGTAGACATCGTACACTACAGAAACAACAGAACAAACATTGTCAGCAGATCAGCTGAAGTTTGTCATGGTTCCTCTTGCTTTTTGTAATGCTGTTTCATACAACAAGGCTTTATGAGAAACCTGCAGGTAAGTCCTTTGACTTGTTAATAATGGATAAAGTGATTCATACTGACAGTGTTCCTGAATGTGATTGATGTAGGCACAGGAAAAAGTGGTCCTCTGTAATAATTTTAAACAGCCTTCATTACTTTAAACATAATGTGGTGTTTTATTTAGATACTACAGTGGATATCACACACAGCCCAAGAAAAATTTTCTCCATCTGCTTGTGTCCCTTTACTGTTATGTCAGTTTCCATAAAAATTATATTTATTGATATGCCTACCATAAATTCTCTAGCTTTATACAGAAATATCTTCTATTTTGTTTTGGGTTTTTTTTCCCCAAGACTGAAAGCATTCTTCCCTAACTGAAAAACTAGTCAGCTAGTATTTGACTAACTCATACAAAAGTATGCTTTTACGAATCTGTACTTTATGGTACTCTTACAAATTTCAGTTAACCTAGTCTCAATGAACACTGGAAAGAGAAGAAATCAACACATAAAAGGCAATTATACATAGTAAAGTGCAGTCTGAATGCTCTACTCTGTGAAGCAAAAACTTTGGTTTTCTAAGTCTCCACAATAAATTACACCTGCTTTTTCCATAATTGCACACACAAAAAAAAAATAAACAAACCCACAAAAATACCCCACTCCTCATATCAGAACAGTAAGAAAAGCAATCTATTTTCATGACTTTGTTCCAGTGATTCAGAGGAGAAGGTTAATGTAGGAAAACTTGTTTTGTATCCATATTGAGTAATTGCACTCAAATTAAGATATGTTTCTAGCTTGGACTCCTATCTACTGTTTCTCTGCAGGGAATATGCAAAATGCTCAGCATTTTGGCACCTTTGTTTGGCGTCTGAATATAACATGAGTCCTTTTTGAATCCATTTGCTTCCTGAAAATATGTTCCTTTAGTACATCTCCCACTTTTTATCTCCCTCTGCCATCATATCGCTTTCAGATTTTAGCTTTCAAAGGAACACTAGACACAAAACAGTATTTCATAAGCAGTAGATAAACTGAAATGACTTCAAGTAGCCAGGGCAAAAAAATCACAGTGAAATCCTAGACTTTACATAGTAAATTCTTAGCTGCCTGTTGTTGATCCCAATTGATCTTTGTAAAATCCATGATTGGTTTGTTGTCTAGCCAGAAGACAGATAGGTGAAATCCTCTTGGATATTCATAGACATTGTTATCAGAACAGTGGTCCCTTTTCTTCTCTAATAGAAAATACACAGGAGGAATATTATCTATTTTGCTCTCTTACTTGTGTTGGGATATGTATGTCTTCTTGGAACAGCTTCTTTTCCATTGCTCACTCATAAAAAAACCCCAAAAATCTGGATTGTTACAGCTATATGATTACCAAGGTTTAACAGTTATCACTTCTGTCTCAAAGGTCCTGAGTGTGTACTGTGGTACTGTGTACCTTTGCTACTCTGAGCAGTTCTGGCTGAGAATTTCTGGATGCATCATGATGGAATGCAAGCAGTGGAAGGTAATCTATCACTCTATGTGATGATTAGCAGGAGCAGATACAACACATTATGCAAAGTACAAACAAAACCATAAAAAATATCAAAAATTTTAATTTAATTTTGGGATAATTTGTTGTTATAATTCACTAGAAATTGAATGAAGAGCTAATTAAATGAGTTTCATATGTGATTTTTGCTCTCTGTGGCACAACAAGCTGCTTACACAATGTGTTAGCTAGTCTGCTATCGTTAAATACTTTATCTTAAATCCTCTTCCTGCCCCACAGCATATCATTTCTCTTCAGATAAATCGTTCCTCAACTTCAAACTCCACTGCTTCCTCACTGCAACTAAAAGCTTAGAAGAGGTAATCAGCTTGTGGTTTCAAGTGTTGCATTTTTGGGGTAATTTCACTTCTCTCTGTTTCAGTGCAGGTCATTCAATGGACATTTCTTGTAAGTTTTTTATCATGGTGTTTCTAGTGCTCTATGCAGCCCCTCACCAATTTAACTTTATTAGGAGGATTTTGAAGGCAAAATAAAGACACATGCAGTGAACTTTTTATGTTCAATGACTTCTGATAATAAAAACTTTTGGTCTGCTTTCAACTTTGATTGGACTTTTTAACTTCACAACTTAAGTTATATGTTTTTACTGCCTAGCTGAGTTTTTAAAATGCAAAGAACTGTGAAAAAAGAAAGTTAAAAATTATGGAGTTTGCAGCTACCATATGTGTTCTGTTTATAATTTTAAAATATATAATCTACATAAAGTGTGATTTTGGTTGAACTTGCATTTTTATTGTGTCCTTTTTAGTACTGAATCACTGGCAAAAAAGAAAAAAAGGCTTAATTTGAAATGAAACAGAATTTATCAACATTGAAAACATTCATGTCTTGAAGGATATTATTTTAATGCAGTCTGGTCTTTTTTGTTAGAAATCAAATCAATATCTTTTTTTCCTAATTAAGTCTATTGATCTCATTGGGCATTCAGTAAGGTGATGTCAGAATATCCCAAAGGGGAAGAAATTATTATTGACCCATTAGGCCGGATCCAGGGAGCAAATGTAGAGAATCTGAATAATTCCAATGCAGTTATTCTGTGTTTTTTAAAACACCAAGCCTTTTTCTCTTATCAACATCTTTGTATATTGGATAGTGAAGAGGAAAAGAAAAGTTAGGGGTTCGTTAACCTCTTTTTTCACTGTTTTGCACTGTTTTTTTCAGTGTTTTCTGCACTGAAAAACAGGTTTGAACAGAGTAGACCATGAGAACACTCTCTAAATTCCTAGTTCAAGTTAGGAAATGAGGTTTGTGCAAGCAGCTAATCTTATCAACCTCTAAATTAATCTGATTTTTATTAAAAAAAAAACAAAAACAAAACCCACTTAAAACAGAGGTTACAGTTGTTGAGTAATTAATAAAGTGATACAAAGTGACATCTATAATAATTCTTCATGTTCATGAAGTCCCTGTAACACTCAACTTAATATACCATACAGAATATAAAAATAACAATTTCATGTATCTCATAATGGAAGTTATAATTGAATGGTTCTGTCAGAGCTATAGCGTTTTTAGTACTCCCAAAATAATAAACGGTAAAAGACAAACAAGCATAATAGCAGTAAGAATAAAAATTAATGAACCGCTAACATAACCTTGTCTATTTGGAAATCATATGCATATCAATGTTTATTTATGTTTGTTTTGAAAAACTGAGTTTATGGACCTGAGCCATATGTTTTTATGATGATAAAACACATAAATACATGTTCCACCATCCAGCTCTCCTTCTTTCTTCTTCTCTTTTGGTATTTAAAAAATATATATATATATAAAAAATATATCCTATGTTGTAACCAATCTTACCTACAAAGTGTAATCACTACAGAAAGTCAATCCCTTCCAACAAACCAAACAAAAGCCAGCACCAAAGTTTCTGTCTCTGAACTGTAAGAAAAGGACAACATTTCTCCTGAAATTACTTAAAAGCTCTTGGTAAAAAAAAAAAAAGTACAGAAATAAATTGACAGCTATATCTGTCTGGCACATTCAAGCATCTAAGTGGGCTGAATGCCCTTAACCTACTACCTTTCTAAAATTATAGCTTTTTTAAAAGTACTAATTGTGTCTCTTTAGCATATAATTTAGATATTAAAATTGAAAATATAGACAAGTTAAAACTTGCCTTCTACAAACATTGTTTCCATATACGGATACTGTCGTTATATAAGCAGTTATTTCCTATAAGCTTTATCTCTGATCAAAGAGATAAAGGAAAGAAATCTAAAAACTTGTAAAGTATTAAAATAATCTGTCTCTTGTTCCTTTTTGTCTCAATTTCATTTTGTTTCTTTTCAGAAATACTGGATTGCCAGATGTCTGGCTTCTATTGCTTATTTTTCTTTATTGGAAAATTTTAATTAAGAGTTATGAAAAAATATTCTGAAAATGGCAAATGTATTCAGTGAGAAGAAAGCTATTTGCTTTAAATGTGATATAAATATCAACTTCTGTCAGTTACAATGGTTACTTAAATTAAGCTTAATATGTATCTTTCATTAAATGCTTGAGAGAGAATGTATAAACCAGAGTAAATCCACAAGAGATTAAATACCGAGGTTTCTTCTCAATTTGAAAGCTCTTAACTCCATTAAAGTGTTTGTGTTTTGCTCATTACTCTATTGCTGAATGAAGTTTAAAACGTACTAAGACACAGATGTAACAGACATCATATTTGATTCATTGCTTGATAAGGCCATATTCAGTCAGATAATATGCCTCTTCATAGCTCTGCCAATTTAAGTGTAATACATTCTGATTGTCATACCATTGACAGCCTAACCAGGATGGGAGGATTTCATGGAACTGTTTCTGGCATTCCATTCCTTCCTCACACTGGAGGAATCTCAGTGCTATTCCTACTAGAAATCAGATGGGATTAATGTCAGTATGGCTGGTTTGAAGGTCAAAGGTAAAAATCTGGAATGCACATCTGAGAACGTAAGGGACCCTGGAGCACACGGAGATTTTCATCAGTGCTCCTGCTCAAAAGGAAAGGGTTTGAAAGGGCCAGTTGAAGGCAGTGAATCAAGAAGTGGTTACAGGACTGGTGCCACAGCCAAAATTTCACTACTTAGACTATGGGGCTCATTTTGGAGAAACCTCTACTGGGAGAAGATGGGGTCTGCCTGTCCAAAATATGTAAGGCATCTCTAGTCATGGGCTTGCCAAGCTGGTGAAGAGAGCTTTAGATGAAAATTGTTGGGGAAGGGGAACCTCAGTCTTACCTACCTCTCGAAGTTAATCTTATTCTTACCAGTTGGGTGCCAATGCCAGTGAGAGATGTCCATAGCCTGGAGATGGATCCCAGGTCAGCAGAAGAGCTCCTGAAGAGCAGCGCAAAATGATTGCATCCACTCAGTTCAGTAATTCAGTTTCATTAGGGGCCCAAATTAAATGTCTTGATGCAAATGCGCCCAACGTGGGGAACAAAAAAGAGGAATTAGACATGTACACACACCTGCAGGGCTACAATCTTATGGATATCTTGAAGACCTGGTGGTATGGCTCCTGTGATTGCAGTTTTGCCATGGAAGAGTACAGGATCTTTGGCAAGGACAGGCAGGGAAAATGAGGAGGCAGTGTTGCCTTCTGTGCCAATGATCAGCTGGAGTGTGTGGAACTTCACCTGGAGAGGCATCAAGGGCTTATGGGTCAGGGTTAAAGGGGGGCAGGGACAGGTGGTGCTAGAGTGAAGGTCTGCTACACCCCACCAGACCAGGAAGACCAAGATCATGAGAATTTCTACAGACAGATAGGAACAGCCACATTCAAAAACCCTGGTCCTTTTGGGGAGCTTCAACCACTCTGATAGCACCTGGTCTATTTGAAGGTGTCCTTGCCCACATCTCAGAGTTTGGAAATAAATCATCTTCAAGGTCTCTTCCAGCCCAAACCATTCTAAGAATGTTTCTTAGTGTTTCTGTGATCCTTTTTGGCAAAGAATTAGTCCTCAAAACAGATTTTTATTCAGATTCCAGAATTTAGAAATAATTCCTAACGCTAATGTATTAATTATAGTTCATGGTTCATGGAGCTACTTGCTCCTTCCCCAGTTTCTTTGTCTCTAAATGGCTGACACTTGTCTAACTAACTTAGTTTGCAATAAATATAGAGGATAAGAGAAAGTACATAACCTTTTGTTCTCTACGGATATGAAAAGCAGAAGGTATTTGTGATCTAACCAATCTGTAACCAGAAACGTGTGAAACTTTCCTGTTATTCTTGCAAATGTGTTTATTGTTTAAATAGAAGTAATTATTTTTCTTCTGCTGGAAGTTTCAAGTTGAGCCAAATGTCTTTAGCATTCTGCTAGCAGATATTTTAGAATAGCGCACATATGTTCAATTGTTTTTATAGAAGAGATGGCAGGTAGTAACAGTCACTTTCTTAAACATGTAGATTCAGCTTCTGGAGAACATAAACCTATGCACCAGTATGTTAATTAAATAAGCAAATATTCAATGAAAGCTGGTTTTAAAAATGCAACACTTTTATTGCTCTATCATGCGATAAATGATATGGTGTTGAAATGGGGTTTTTTTCCCATTGTTGGGTTAACATTCTTTTGTCTCTAGAACTGTCGAAAGTGTAAATTTTGTGATCAAAATGGTTTTTCACACTCTTCTGAGTTTTGTGGAAACCACACTTGAATACAAAAGAACAGAATGTTTCAGTAGGTTATACAAAATATTCTATTAATATCATTTTACTCACTGCAGGGCTAATGAATTGATTAAAACCACTTTATTTTTGAGATAATAAGTTAGATTAGGGACTTAAAAGCTTTACATAGCTCTGGGAAAGACATGTCAATGCTTACTTTACAGAACTGGAGAAGTTCTTCAGCTCTTTGACTTCAAATTGAAGAACTAAGAATACATAATTTAATTCTCACACCTGCTTTAAAACAAATGCATCAAGTAGCATAAAAAAAATTACAATTTCTGTTGAAATAGCAGCCATCCCAGAAAAAGATCATATTCCTACATCTTCAGAGTTTATTCTTTTTCAGGATGAACTGAATCACTTGTCCAGCTCAGACTTACTTTTGGACAGAAAAAGAAAAAGCATGTTCTTTTCAACTTTGGACATGAGGTATTTTGTGAAGTAATGCTAAAACCTATCCTGCTAAGTTTGAGAAACCTCAGAAGTAGCTGTGCAGACTATCCATTGGAAAAGAAAGAACAGGTCTGGTCTGAAATTTTAGAGCAGACACCCAATCATAGGTAAATAATTGAAACACTTGCAATCTTGACAGGAGGAAAGCAACAAGTCTTTGGAGAGACAGGTAACTTTAAAGGTCAGTCTTAGAGATCATCAGATGAGCACTAGTTTTATTGAATTCACTGGGTTTAGGATTTGATCTTAATTTAGATGCCTAATTCTCCCAGACAGTGTAACAAGAGAGTGTATAAAGTGAATATTATATAAAGTGAAATGGTAACTGAGTATTTCCGACTCTTTTTG